AGATAATCAAGTTGACTCCTTTATTTCAATCAATTGTAAGTTTAATTGTTCAAAAGGTAAATTTTATCATGTTAAGAAAGTTCATTTCCAGTTGATTATTATTGTTTTCCCAATGATTTCGTGATAGATTGATTTTCATCATGAAAAAGAGTAAAATAAAACCAAAACGAACTGAAATTAACCTTGGGTCTGAATAATTGTCAACAATAAACTTCAATGAATCAAAAAAGTTTCAAACTCAATCAATGATTTATTTCTGGTGCAGTTAAAAGTTTCATCATAAGCTAAATATTCAACATGATACAGAAATTTTCAATCTCCATGAACTAAATTCATTGATTGTGAAATCAACACAGAATATATATTATCTCCTCCTTCCCAGAACTTGATTATGAAATTTTGGCTTGTAATTGTTAAGATAAATATTTAACAAGGATAATAATATTATCATGTTCACGATAACATGAAATTTCATCATCAGAATCTTGAGATAAAAGATCATTTTTATCAGGAAACGAAATTTTTTCAGGTAATAACATTAATTTCAACAATCAGCTAAATGGTGTTAATAGTTTGCCCAACAGAAATTATTTCTATTAATATTATTGTTTAATTGAACTGCTCGATTGTTGTAACAATCAACAATTCTTATCATTAAGCTTTCGCCTGATTGTAGCCCAATTAAGTTAATTATAATGGTTATGATGATGTTCCTGTTATTATTATTGATTATATAAGTTAATTTGAATCAAATTGTAATCCAGAGTAAATATTAATATTAATAGTAATCCCTGGATTTGTTTGGTAAACGTGAACAAACAATTAACTTTGCAACAAGATAAACGATTGGTAAACAACAACAATTAAACATCATTAGCTGATTAATTTAATGAAAACGTGATGACCAAATGATTATGATTGTTATTAGATATTTAATTTTTGAATTACTTTTCATGATTTGAGTGACAATTTAGGAATAGAAAATTAAATTTTCAATTATATTGTTAGTATTTTAATCAGCCGAAAGACGATTAATCAAATTGCTCATAATCTAATTGAGATCAGAAAATTAAATATCGTTTACATGTTTAAGCAATTTCATTGAAGTTCAAAGATTTTGCTTCAAGATTGCTTTCAATAGATTTCATGATAATCATGATAATGATAAAAGATTTCTAGATGATCCATTAAGATAACATGTATACATAAGACAGAATGAAGAAAGAAATAGAAAAGTTCTAACTCTTTTCGAGAAAAAGTTTCATTTTCTGTTATTTCTCATTCTTTTCAAATTTCTTTTCATGTTTTTATCATCTTTTTGATCATCTTTACAATCACCTCTGATGATGAAGATGATGGTTAAAGATGATGGAAGAGAAAATTGGAAATTCGTAAAGACCATTACATGAAATAATTTGATATAATGATCATCATGAAAGGAAAGGAAAAAAAATAGAGAAAAAGATTCAAAGTTTTTTATGAGAAAAATAAAATTGATATGAAAGTTTTCAATGTAACATGTTGACAATCAATGAAGCTGATCAATGATGATCATTTAAACATATTGAAATACTACAATAAATAAAACATGAAAATATCATGATTATCAAGTGAAAAATGAAAAGTATATCAAATTGCTCATTGGGAGTGAAGTTTATGTCTAAGCTTCAAGTATCATGATTAACTGTTAATTATGGTCCATTGAATTGATTTCATTGATATATGTTTGCACTCAACAATTAGTGGGTGTGTTGATTAGATGATAACTTTGAGGATTATAACAGATAGTCAACTTTTTGAATGAACAATCAATGCTCAGATTGTTGATCCCAATTTGATTTATCAATCGATCAGCTCTTAATATCGTTCAACTGGAAAAAAAGAAAATATCATTTACAATCAACAATTTAGTATATAGATTGTAGATTATCCTTTTCATGAGGTGAAATTAAGTTCGTTTTTTAATATTCTTAACATTATGGTGAAAAAAAAGTTCTAAATGATATTCAAATACAGACCACTATCGTATTCATTTGATATTTATCATTATTATTGATGATATTAATAGTTATCTTATGTTAATATCTGCTAATGATTATGTAACAATTAGTAGTAGTAATACAATATTTTAATTGTTTACTATTATCATCCCATTATCATGTAGTCATTAGTTTGGAGTTGATTAGTAGAGCAATTAAAATGTAAATAATTTATGATTGATTTATACCAATCAATTTTGACTATTATCTCTTGATTTAGTTAATTACGAAAGGTCAATCTATCTAATAGTAGCTCCTGTTGATTAATATTCTCGGTGTTTATCAAGTAAATCGTTAATTTTGGCAAGTATAATCAAACTATTAGTTGATTAGTTTAAATTATCGGTGATTTATTTGATTCTCATCAATTGATCTGAAAGTAGTCTGTTAGATATCAAACTGTATTAGTATTATCAATAGATTAAAATAGAAAATAAATTTAGTTATTAATCGATGATTAGAATAATAGTAAATCAGATTTTAAGTTGAAAAATTAATTAATCTAATTGTCAATAGTAAATGTGAATCTCAAGAAATCAATATTTGTAATTATCATAACATTGCGCAAATTTGTAAGCAAATTGGCCAATTGGTCATCTATTTGTAATGATTATACATTAATTGTTACAGTTAAATGTCAACAAAACTAATTAATTCATTGTAATAACAATTTGATTCCCTTTGAATTAATGATTGGAACATAATTGTTACATAATATTAATCATTACGTAGATGCGATCTAATCAATTGGAAAGTAATTTGAGAAAATTGGGTTAATTCAAATTGTATCTAAACAGAATAGCAAGTAAATTGTTGATATAATCATTAAATCATTTCTGATTATGATTAGGTAAACAATGAGTATATTATTATCAAATTAAATTATCAATCTAAATTGCTGCTTCTTTTTTTAATAACTTTTTCTAATGGGATTTTTTATCTGCTTGTATTGTTATGATCATTTTTGGTAAATTTACTAATTCATTCACTGTCATCGATTGTTATTAATAATATCTTGCCCAAAATGATCAACTAAATTGTTGATAAGTTTAATTTTTAATGATGTTAGTGTTATTACTTAATTGTCAATCGATAAATTGTTTCTTCGTATATCTTATTGTGATGGACAAGAAAGTTAACTTATATAAAATGACAATAAAAGTTGAAAAAATTATAATTGTTATTATTGTTTTTCTAGTTCAAGGTTAATTGTTTGTGATGATTTATGTTCAGTTAATGTATTTTATCAAATTAAATTTGATTGTCTTGTTAATCATTTTTTTATAAAACAGTGACGGAAGACAATTATAATTTAGATTAAATTTCAAAAGTAATAATCAAAATCCGATCAACAAAAGGAAATCCCTTCCAACTTGATAATACAATAATATGATAATAATAATAATAATATGAATGATGTAATTGTAATTGTAATTGTTAATCAATAGGAATATGGGAAAAAATACTAATCCATTGATTATGGTAATCAAAGTAATCACAAGTAAAGATATTTTTGATTAGATGGACAAAAGTATAAATTGGGTTTAGCAAACTACTGGACAATGTAGGTTAATACAATTAAGTAATCAGATTAGATCAGTAAGAATTAAATCTGAAGTAAACTAATGAAAGAAAAGAAAGTAAAAAGTTAATTCTTACAATTAAGTTTTGATTAAAAGGTGAGATAGACATAAATCACTCTAAGTATATGAAAGTTAATTGTAAATCAATAGATTTCAACACATGGAGAGAGGGAGGGAGAGAATTAAAAATGAATTTAATAAAATACGTTAGTGGTTTTATTGGAAGTGTCATTTGTTAATCGTGATTGTGATTAAATCAGAATTGACAGGTAAATATAATGGGAGAAGATGGAAAGAGAGAGAGAGAGAGAGAGAGAGAGAGAGAGAGAGAGAGAGAGAGAGAGAAAATTAAGCTTAGCTAATGTGAAATGAATGTTAATATGCATGAATGAGTCAAGATTTCTTGATTCTTACTATTATTATCATTGGTAATCAGCTTATTAGATTCACCATTCCCTATGTAATATTATGTAAAAACTTTATTATTTAACTATCAGGGTATTAACATGATTATTATCTTACTGAATAATCTTTATCTATTTCTTTGATTGTCTCACCATTTTTGCATCATTATTATATCGTTAATGTGATTCTGTCTGATCATGTTAGTCGATTAGCTGAATAATGTTAAAAGCATCAAGTAAATGGTTAGCAAACACATAGATACAAATTAAAGATGAAGTAGATTAAATTAACTTTCAGGGAATGAAAAAAAAAGATCAACAATCAATAAATTATATAAAATTAACAAGCTAATTTTTAGTTAGGTTGGTATAATAGTGAGTGGGTGTGGGTGTAGGTTGGTGTTGGTGAATAATGTATAACTTTATAAGTAAATCTAAAAGGTAATTAAATTGAATAAGAATCACGGAATCCAACAAATGAGAGATCTAGATAAATATACCCTTAGGGTATTCATGTCGCTTTGTTTTCTGTTCAAGAAAGTGTGAAAATTCATCTTACATTCTCAACTTTAGTTAATTTAATTAGTACAACTTGACAAAAGGAAATGATCAAGAGTCGAGGTGTATGCAAGAATATAATCAACTAATATTGTAGCGGAATTAAGATGGCAAAGGAATCAGAATTTTGGAATGACAATTGAGACTAACAAATCGGTTTCGAATTGTATTAAATCAGATTAACCTTTTGATGAATATAATTGATCTAGACATACCTGAACACTGGACCTAAAAGATTTTCAATTTAATTCTTTGCGAAAAAAATCTAATTAGATTTTAAGTTCTTTCGATTTTTATCGACTTTTGTTCTTATTTTTGATTGTAATTGTCGAATTCCTTTGATTGCTAGAATGATTTTGCTTCCAATTTGCCATTTATTCTATTTTAATTCTATTTTTCTTTTCAATTTCATCCAGTGAATTGCGTCGATTTGTTCGTGTTCTTGAAATGTTGGCACCATTGATTCATCCTGAATGGAAAATATTAACCTCCAATGCACTTTACATATCGGTTTGTGTGGCTCTACTTTTGGGCACCTCAGGTCAGGTCATCGCTTTGACCAATAATTTTGACATCAAATTGCGAACTGAAAAATATTATGGCTTCTTGGTACAGGGAAACAAATTGGACCTCATTTTTGATCAATGCTGGAAAAGCGGCTATTTAGCTTTGGCTCCGTACGATTGTATTATTGGTATTTTTCCCAAAACGGTAACTAATCAGCTCAAAGAGGGAGGATATTTTTACGATTATACAACATTGTCTCGGAAGATGCCCAATGGCTCATTGGAGACCATTAAAACGACCACTCAACAAGTGTAATTAAACGTAACCATCTCGATGCAAACACGTTTCACTCATTTCTCGTAATTGACAATCATAAGAAGGATATTCAAAAGATATGAGAGATTCTTAGCTGATCCAAGACTTGTGAAGAAGAAATTTGTTTCTCGCTGGAGCAAAAATCAACTGTTATAAATTATTTATCTTCTCGTTTTTAGCTTTATTCATAATAATTTCGATCATCTTCTTTAATCTTCCACCATCAAGCTGGTTAATTACCACGAATATGAAACAAACTGCAATGCAAACGTCAAGAAAGTCACAATTTAAAAGCAAATCAATCATATCTGGAAAGAGAAAAAAAAATGAATTGAAAAAAAGCACAAAGGCAATAATGTAAAAGATTAACAGGAGATCATTGAAACCGTGTATACTTACCATTTGTCAAAAGATTAATTGTTAACATGCTGAAATGAATAAAAAATGAATAAAATAAACACAAAATTATTTCAAATTGATTGAAAATAAAATTAAAAAATTACAATAATTGACACGAGAAACAAAAACAATTTACCTTTTGAATTTTCGGTGAATTAAAAACAAAAAACAAGTAAAAGAATCGGATAAATACACATTGAAGACCATTAAAACTGAGAGAATTTGTTTTTTACCATGGTGAACACCAAATTCATTTATTTCACAGCAAGTTCACTTTTCAGCTTTCAGGTCAAGACGGAAAAATTAGCTTCCATAATTGTCCCAATAAATGAACTAGGACAATTTAATTATGTACAATCAGTAAGAATCTAAGATGGAGAAAAATTGATTACTTTCAATTTTCATTATGATTTCGTTGATTTTGATCGTTCTTTTCACTAAATAATAGGCTGGGAGCAAGTAGTTCTCGAACCAGAAAAGAGAATAAATTAATTTTAATCCACAAACAATTAAAATTAACACAAAAAAAATTAGATAAAAGGGTTAACAGTAATTAGAATGGAAAAAAAGAAATTAAAATCTTTTCTTTAGAAATTAAATTTTTCTCTTTTTCGATACATCGTTTGGATTTCGATGTATCGACCAATTGCCATTTGTTTTCTTTTTCTATCAAAGAGACTTTTAAATACGCGGTTACAATTATTGAGAATTTAATTTAATTCTATTTGGTTTAAATTGTTTGGTTTCTGGAGAATTTTAGTTTATAATTTGATCGAGCAACAGTTTGTCTTAATTTGTCCAAATTTGTCCGATTGTGATTCTTTTGGTTGAGTAACTTTTTCTCTTAAAAATTGGAGAAAACAAGAAATAGAAACAAAAAATGTCCAGTGAATGTGGTCCAAGGTATTTAAGAGTTAAACGTAAATCTGATGAGGATCCATGTTACTCTTCAAGACAATATAAACGATGTAAGTTTGTTGCATCAGTGAAAACAACCTTATTACAAGATGTTCTCAAAGTAATTAACAATCAGAACATTCAAGATGCTGATATAATCGATGTTAATCAGACTGTTGGTGAACATGACGAAGGTAAATTTTTACTTGTTCCTTTTATTTTCTTCTCAATGTTATTTTGTTTATTCTTTTTCTTTTCCTATAACCTTTTAACTATCATAATTAATATTCTATTTCTCTTAATTTGAATCATTCTAATTGACTGTATTTTCTAATGTTATTGTGTTTTTTGTTCTATTCTTTTCTCCCATTTTGTTGTTGATATCTTTGTTTCTACATTTCCATCTAGATGAAGCACAACACAGAGAGCTAAGTGAAGAAGATTCAACCTTCCGTGGATTTGTTTATGACATTTATTGTCTACAAGATTTGGATAATAATTTGTACAGTGTAAATGAAGAAGATGAAGAGTCCGATAATGATTCAAATGATGAAAATAATCCTCGTAATGATTATCCAGATGAAGAAAGTTATGATTTTAATGAGTTAAATTATTATCGGGATTGGCAAGATGAAGAGGATTACAGATTACGAGAAAAATTTGATGATTTTACCATGAAGGGAAGAGGTGATGAAGATGAAACTTCCAGTGAAGATTCACTTTCTCGTAATTGTGATGATGAAGCTGATGATGGTGATGATTTTGATCCAGACAAGGTTGATGTACCTTTTAGTAGAGGATTAAACAAAACCACAATTTAATTCTATTCATCAAAATCAAAATATCTTCCTCATCTTCTTCTTACCTTTGCATCTCTCCTTCTCTCTCTCTCTCTCTCTCTTCTCTCTCCATATCTTCTTATATCTTCTGTATACTATCAATATTATACATTCTATGTATAATAATAATGATATATTTTCTCCTCTCCAATTTGATATCTCCCAAATTTAATGAAACAATTTTGTGAAATGATCATAATTAAACAAATTACAAATGTGAAAATCAATTTGTTTACCATTTCTAAATGGTTACATTGATTTAACATTATAACTGCACAACAACAAGACAAACTTCAGAGTCAAATCAAACCTCTGAAGTTCACTTAACCATACTAACCAATTTTCTAACAATCAATAACTAATTTGATAAACATAATTTTCTCTAATTGTAATTAAATTAAAAACAATTCATTGGAACCGCCAATTTAAGGTTGCATCATTTACCTTCCATCACTATAGAAACCCTTTAAAACGATCATATGTTTTTTTTGTTTTCTTTGCAGTTTTTTTTCTGTTGATTTAACTGATTCTTTTCTTTCTCTTCTCTTCTTTTTATAATTCAATGGTTTTATCTTCGCTTTGTGGTTGATTTTGTTTGTTTTTTCCTTCATTCTATTGGAAAGTAACCTTGTAAAAGAAAAGTGTATTTGGATTGAAAAAATGCCGAAAAAAATGGGAACCAATTCTAAGGCTGTTGAAGCTCGTGCTAGAAAAGATGAAAAGAAACGAGCTGAACACGAGAAGGTGCAAAAGGAAAAGGAAGACGCTTATTGGAAAGACGATGATAAACAATTAGCGAAGAAAATTCAGAGAAAGGCCGAAGCCGATAAGAAGAAAGAAGAAGCCGTCGCTAAAAAGGCTCTAAAACAAGCCTTGTACGAAGAGGAAATGGCCTCGATTAAAGGGCCAAGCGGTGGAGGCGGTGGAACATCTAAAGTGACCAGAGCTGAAATCGCCTTTAAATTGGAAAATCAAAAGGTTGAAAAGCCGAAACCAAAACTGATCGAAACTCCAATTGAAGAAAATCTAAACCGAATCAACGTGGAAGGCGAAGCTCGTTCTGTAGATGAAGCAATTGCTGTTCTAAGGTGCGAATATTTATCCACTATTTTCTCTAATTTTATTCTTTTCGAATTGTTTTTCTAATTGTTTTTCGATTTCTTTTCTTCTTTCTAGTATCAAAGACGAAGAATTAGATCGACATCCAGAGAGAAGGGTTAAAGCCGCTTACAATAGTTTCGAGGAGAAAATGTTATCCAAATATAAGGCCGAAAATCCTAATCTGCGATTATCTCAAATCAAGCAAATGGTAAAAAAAGATTGGATGAAATCTCCTGAAAATCCACTTAATCAACCACACACAGCATATAATTCATCTGGTAGGAATTAATTGTCAACCATTAATCTGCCATCACGATTATTTAATCAGCATGATAGCCTCACATTGATGACACTTTGGTTACTATGAAAACAAATTTGCTGACAATATAAATTGTTTACAAAACGAGAACAACAAAATTGTAAATTTTATGATCAATTGATTGAATAAGTGATGTGTCACCAACAATTAACAATTTACTGAATTGTCCATCAATTTGACTGGAAAGAAACACAAAGTGAACATTAATTTGAATTGTCAAATCAACCGATTGGAAAACAACAATCATAATATTTGTATTGAAGAATTGATATTTTCCTAATTCTCAATGATTTTCACAATTTCATTTTTTTCTTCTTGATTGTCAATTTAAAGTTTGTTGTTTTCTAAATCAAATTATCACAACAACAATACAACATTGTACAAAATGTGCTTTTTCTCAATTGTAACTATTAATTGTATTTTGATTAATGATCGATTGAACAATCAAAGGGAGAAATCAACTCACCCAAGAAATAATTTTCTCTCCATGTTATTAACAGAAAATGTTATCATTTAGTTAATTGTCAATCTCTGGTTAATGTTGATCTCTTTTTATTTTTGCTGATCAACAGGTGAATTAATCAACATGATAATCAAAGTGAAAGATTTATATTGTGTAAATTAAAAGGGTGGAATTGATGAGATAACAATTACCACTGATTGTGACCCATTAATTGTTGCTTTTTGTTAATCATTCCAATTGTGATAATCACTTTTAAAAGAGAGAGACAACAATCAGCTGAACATTGAAATTGAACAATTAAATGATGATAATATAGTAAATTGAGATGTTCCTATTTTTCATTGATGGTAAAAAATGTTGCCAAAAATATTTAATTGTTAACAATTAATCAAATTGGCAGTTGTTTAAATCTAATTGTAAACTCAAAGCTCAATGAACAATTTCAGTTGATCAACAAAAGGGAAACAAAAAAAAAGTCAAGTGTCAACAAAAACAATCAACAAATTGTGACAATCATCATGATCCCTGATTATTATTATGTGACTTTTAATTATCCACCTCTAACCAAAGATAATCAACTCAATTAATCATTTCAACCATAACAACAATCAAGTCTATTGTGACAAAATTAATTATCCAACTAGATTTAAACAATATTGTTATTAACCCTTCGGTATATAAACAAATTGATTGTCGATCCAAACACAATCAACTGATTCATTGAACTTGAGGTTAATTGTTGTAAATTGAACTTATAATTAGTAGAAATCCCAACAATCCAATAAAATCTAAATTGTTGATTGATTCTAAATTGGATGAAAAAGAAAAGTAAACAACCTTGAGAAACGATTAACCTGAACAACGAACAATTAACTGATTGATTACTTACCAATATATTCTTGATTATCATCATCATCTATTTACATCAATCGATGCAAAGATTAACAATCATAATTAAGTTGAAAAAGAAAATTAAAAGAAACCAAATTGTAAAAGTGAATAAAAAATAATAACAATTCGTCAGTTTATCTTGAGGGGAACAACAATAACAATGGAGATTCCCAATGAAACTAATTCAGAGAGAGAATTGAAAATTTCCAATTCTCCATCAACATCGATCACCTCATCTTCCTCATCATGTTCATCCTCATCTTCACCAAATGTTATCAATTCAATTCCGGTTATCAAATCATCAGAATCATCATCAGTTCCTCAGGTAGTCATCATGAATCCTTGTCTAGCTGGTTCGGTAAGGCGATTTATCATCTCTCTCATTTGCCCTTTTCTCTTTCTCTCTTCTCTGTCTATTTTTCATCTTCTTCTTTTTTGTCCCTTACATCATCTTCTTCATCATCATCACCAAATTCAATTTCATCTTTAGAAAAAAAGCTAATTCTTCTATTCTCCCTCTTTTTTATCTTCTCTTTGTCTCTGTCTTTTTTTTATTTTCTTTTTTTTCTCTAATCTTTGTCTCTCTCTCTCTCTTTTCTGTTTCTTTCTCTGATTCATGTCGCTGGTTCTCTCTCACTTTGGCCTGCAATTGAAACAAAAAACACCCATCAACAAATTCTCTATCAATTGTGTTAATTACTCTTCTAATCAACTTCCTAAACTGTTTTTCTGTCACAATTCAAATTTGTCTCTTCAAATCAACGGAACAACAACAAAAAACCACCTACATTAATCCTCTTCATCTAATCGGAAATTATCATCATCATGGTTCATAATCTTAATCATTTGTCAACAATTTGGTTACTTTGTGATTTTTGATTCATTTGGAAAACAATGTCTCTCTCTTAAAACTGTGATAATCTCTAATCCTTGATTACCAAACTTCTTAATCTCCATTTGTTTCCCTCTACTTGTTGATTATTTTCTCTCTCTCTCTCCAATTGTTTTTCTCCATGTTAATGACCATTGGAATTATTTTAAATTCTAATCTTTTCTATTATAAATTGCCATCATCATCTTCATACTTTTCTCTCTCACATAATCACCTTTTTATCTATTGATTCACCTTTTGTTTATCAACATCATCTCTCCATTTTGTTGATTTGGTCTCTCTCTCTCTCTCTCTTTCTCTTCCTTCATCTTTTCTCATCCGTCAACGTTTCAAAATCTCTTCTTGTTTTCTACTTTTTTTTGGAAAAAAAATTCTATTCTATTCTCTCTCTCCCCTGAATATATCATCTTTATCTTCTTCATAATATTCTGGTTCCTTTGTTCCTCATCTGGTTATTGTTTTCTCTTCCATTTTCTTCTGTCATAAACTCTCTCTCTCTCTCTCTCTTGATTGATTCCATTGAATCAGCAGCCAATCAACACCATGGGCAAAGGTGACATGGATGAATCTCTAGTCTCCAATGAGGCTATTCCAACAACCAAATACGAAGAGCTTTCCAATCTTGTCCAGACCCGATCATCTGTACGTGATAAACTTTACCGATTAGTACAAAATATTTTCTTCCGTTTAGCCACTTTAATCTTAATCATAATCGATTGTATTCTAACGGTGGTTGATCTTTCCCTTGGAAACAAAGAGGAGTCACTCCAGAGCTCCATTGACACCGTTGTCTTAATTTTCGCCATCATTTTTTGCATTGAAGTTTGTCTTCGTATCTACGCCATCGGGTAAGTCTTACAACCTTTTCTTAATTGCAGTTAGTCATCAACCTCGATTAATGATCATCTTGATCACTTTCACTTTTTTTTCTTTCGTTGTCTAAATTTCATCATCTCTCTTTATTTTTTCCCATTGCGCCATTAGGGTGGATCATTTTTTCATCGATTGGTACAATTGTGTTGATTTCGTAATTATCATAATGAGCTTTATGATAACATGTATTTATATCATCATTCACATGAGCAACAATTTCGCTAAGTAAGTAAAATATTATAGTTACATTAGATTTAATTGATTTGATATAACACAATCAGTGATTATCAATTGATCAAGGGTTAACCATGAATTGATTGTTGCTGCTTTTAAATGTTTGTTTATCAATTGAACACTCCTCTTACTCTAATTTTTTTTTCATTATCATTCTGATTAATCTTGATTTTTTTTCCTATTTCCATTAGATTGATTATATTGGCTCGATTAATTCGAGTAATGGTTCTGGTTCGATTGTTTCGTGTTGTCACTGAACCTAAAAATATTCAGAAAGGTGTTCGCTTGGTTGTCTCTGAAAATAAGCGACGATATCGAGGTGATGGTTTCGATCTTGATTTAACTTATATTACACCTCGAGTAATTGGAATGTCCTTCCCATCATCTGGATCTTGGGCTTTCTATCGTAATCATATTAAGGATGTCGCTCGATTCTTTGATTCTAAACATGGTCCTGATAATTTTAAGATTTACAATTTATGTTCTGAGAAAAGTTATGATGTCAACTATTTCCATGGTAGAGTTGCACGTTATCCAATCGACGATCATAATGTACCTACATTGGAACAGATGATGAGATTTGTCGAAGATGTAAAAGAATGGCTTGGACAAGATGAGAAGAACGTAATTGCCGCTCATTGTAAAGGTAATTAGAAAAATTCGCAATTTGATTGTTTGTAGAAGGAGAACTAATATTGTATACATTTCTTTTTGCTTCTCTACTTATGGTTCACTCAAAGGTGGAAAGGGTCGGACTGGAACAATGATCTGCGCTTGGTTGATTTACAATGGACATTTCGATGAGTGTAAAGAGGTTCTAGAATATTTTGCCGATAGACGGACGGATACATCGGTGGGGAAAAAGTACCAAGGAGTGGAAACACCAAGTCAAGCTCGTTACATTGAATATTTCAGTCGTATTATCAATCAAATGAATGGTAAACTACCGGTTGAAGGTAAAACTGTCAATCTTAAGAGTATCAGTATTGAAGGTTTATCAACGATCGGTGCTGGTGATGGTTCAGATTTAAGTGCTTCCATTATGATTGACAGATCGGAAACGTTTAATTTGGACTTTGGTACGGAAACTAATTGCACCGCTTTCTATAATAAACCCGAAGATATACTCATTATTACACCGAAAAATTGTCCATCTTTAAAAGGTGATGTTAGAATTAAATTTAATTGTCGTTCGAAAAGTGTTCCTAGGGCATATGAAGATTGTGCCTTCTATTTTTGGTTTAATTGTAATTTTATCGAAGGTAATAGTTTATCTTTAATCCGTTCCGATGTTGATAATCCTCATAAATCTAAAACATGGAAAATTTATACAGAAAAATTCAGAATTATTTGTAATTTTGATTGAGAAAATTTTCTATTATTACTATTACTATATTCTAATAAGAGATTAATTAATTTATTTTTTAAAATTTCTCAAAATGAGAAATAATCAAATTTGTTTACTTCGCAATAAAATGAAAGAAATTAAAATTTTAACTAATGTATCACAATTAAAAAATTGAAAAGAATCAAAATTAACATTAAATTGTGAAAACTTTTCCATTAAATGTTATGAAACAAAAAAACACGTCAACAATTAACATTAGATTGTCGATGATAATTTTTTACAATTAAGTTAATTACATGTAAGAAGATGATGAGATGATTATTACATGAAAATTAAATGAGCAACTTTCATGACAATTAAAGTAAAAAGAGGAAGAAAACAATTAAAACGAAAAGCTTCAGAACCAAATTTGGAAAAAGTCGAAATGGTTAAAGCAATTTAGATAAAAGTAAAAGATGATTAACTAATTGCAAGAAATCAACGTCTAATCAGAATAATACCGATTCATCAAACTAATCAGTCTGGGGCGGTATCTTAATCATCATTTAGACGCAGGTTTGAACCCAACACCTTGGGTGAAGGCGATGGGTAACTCAACCGATGGAGCTAAGGATAGACTCCCGGAGAAGTGAGTGATTAAAGGTAATTTAAAGTGATCTGAGGTTTGGAATTTAGTTAATTGTTGATTTAATGGGAGTTTTACTTGTTGTTAAAGGTAATTGATAGTAATTAACTTACGCTTCGTTTGCTTTTTGATGGTGTCCAACTCTTTCAATGGTCTCACTTTTTTTTCTTCTTCTCTAATGATTTCATGTTTTGGTGATTTTTTGATTTTCTTTCCTTTTTTTTCTTATTCTTTTTCGGTTATTTTATCTAATATGTTGACGTAGAATTTTAATTTGTTCAGTGATAATTCAACTTCTTTCAGGGTATTCGATTGGAATCCTTTTGATACATTGTTCACCAATGTGTTCACTTTTTTTTCTACATCAGCTCTTATTTTCTGTAGGTCTTGGATCTCTGATTCAATAACTGCTTCGTTGATTGTTAACATTTCTTCAAGAAATTCTGGATCCATGATATAATTACCATCAACTGAGATTAGAAAAGAGAGAGAGAGAGAGAGAGAGAGAGAGAGAGATTAATGTCAGAAAGCTTGGAAATTTCAAAGAAAATATAAAATAGTTAATGGCTAACTTTCTTCTCGGTGATTTCCTTTTAATTGTAACAAGTAGATTCCTCTCTCGTAGGGGTTAATTAAAACTCTATAAGCTTTGTTGACATAAGTTGATAGATCCATTGAAATTTGTTGATCTTTCTAATGATTAAATGAAATAATGATCAGAATAAATTAGCTCCTTATTTGAAAGCTGAATTTTTGCAAAAAAAAAACTCACTTCAGGACGATTGGTAAATTTGTCAGGGTGAAGAATCCACTGGAGATTTAAGTATTTCTTTCTAATTTGAGAAATATCAACATCATATGTGACAAATTGATCAAATATTGTAAAATAATTAATCCTTTGGTCACCTAATTGTGGAGCTAAGCAATTGGAACAGCTGATTGATAGACTACGATTAACAATTTTATCTCCACACTGCCAACTAGAGACAAAGAATTTTTGTTAAAAATATTAACAGATTATCCATGGTGGTCTATTATTATTCCTTCAGTAATTTACCATTTAATCTCCCTTAAATCAGAAAATAATTTACTAATCAATGGACGGGGCAAAATCCTTGAATCAAGAAGCCGAGAAGTGTCTTGATTAACCGAGGCCAAAGTAAACCACTTGAGATCATAATAGTCACTGGAAGGTCGAGTTAAACCATTAATAGTTCCAAATCTTTTGACAATATTTGTGATACAATTAGATTGTTTTCTAATCATAACTAAAGAAAAAAATCTGCAAATGAGAAAAAAAGCAGAAAACATTAAATCAACAATTAGAATCCAAATTAAACGAAACCAATTCACCTTAACAACACAACTATAAATGTAAACAACAACACTTACGTTTGTAGGATTAATCTAATCACTTAAATCAACCAGACAGAAACAATTAACATTACAACACTTGGCTCAACGTGTTGGAAATTAAATTTAATCTAAAAGGAAATTAAATTAATTAGAACAATTAATTAAACCGACGAATTAAAATTTCACCTCCAATTATGAATTCCAATTGAAAGATAAACACAAAAAGAGAAAAAAAGAGAAAAACCGCCAAAAGAAATTCAAATATCCACCAGTTTATTTTCTGTTCTTTGATCGGATTAACAAAATTGTCTCTCTTTTAATTGTTTACTAAACGTGTTTTAATTAGTTTAATTAATTTTTTCTTCTTCAATTAAATTACCAGGTAAGTTGTCGCCATTAAAATGTTACCATTTTCTTTGGAAAAATTATATTCTATCAAAATCTATTTGATTTTCTTTGGTTCGGTTTTGGTTAACATGTTGTTTCCATATTCAAGCTTTTATCCTATTCCTTTATTTTGTTAATCCTTTTTATTTTTTTCTTTTCTACCTTTAATTAATTAAATCTTTCATTTGTATTGTGTTTTATTTTCTCGCTTGTTCTTTTAGATTGGTGTTTTACCCTTAGGTTACTTGGATCTTTTCATCTACCTTTGGTTTACCGATTGTTTTGTCTCCATTCTGTTTGGGTGGTTTGCCTATTGTTACCAAGCGTTGGAATATAATTTTCTTCATTGTTTATTATTTGATCTTTGATTTTAATCACTTTTCGTGCCAATTATAGTTTAATATTCCAAATCTTGATAGCCTAAATCAATATGGATACTAATCAGGTGAGATTCAGTTTATATTATCCAAGTGGTTTTGTGTATTTAACTAATATTTTCTTGTGTTTCGGTTTTGTCTATGGTGGAATTTAATTTTACTCAGCCGAGTGTTTTCAATCCTAAAATGTTCAATGATGAAAGAGATCAAGTTCTTGGACTATTTAATAAACTACAAGCTTATTGGGGAACTGGTAAAGCTTTTACATGCAAGGTCAAGCTCAATTGACCTGAATCAACATCAACCCAACCATAGATTTAAAGCTATTGGATATTCAAAGATTAAATCTGAAGAAAGTAATGAATTCAAATTTGGTGTGGTGATCAGTATGGAAGGAGGTGAAAGTCAAATGAATACTGCGATTCTACAATATGAGAATAATTTAAAAGGTATTTTCGGTCAAACCTATGGACCTAAAGTTGAGGCTACCAAAATATTACCTGATAATAAGGCGATGCTAATGATCACAGTTACCGATATGTCGACCAACCTTAAATTACCAGCTAGACAAATTATACTTTTCCTTAATCAGATGAATGTTAAAATGCAGCTACCCAATGTTTTCCAGAATAAATTCTGTCAGTTGGTACCTTTACACCCTCCCTCGAAACAAGAAATCGACGAATATCTGAAAGTTGTACCCGCTGGTATTGATGAGCTTCTTTGGAATCAAGCAAAACTTAACAATCCTGATGCTGAGAAATTTATTCCAGTTCCATTGATTGGATTTGCCGCTCTTAATGAACGTTTTAAATTACAAGAGCAAGAAGTTCATCAACAACGGATACAATTAAAGTTAATCATGGATGAGATAGAAAATATAACCAAAAGTATCGCTGTGATGAAAGTTCTGATCGAAGAATGTAAACGAAAAAATGTTCTACTCTCCAATCGAGTTTTATCTCTAATGGTTCATCAGATGATTAAAAGACGACGTTTTTATCCTGTTCAAGCTCATGAAGATCAATTAAGAGCTAAACTTGAAGACCTGCAGCGTGACATAAATGAACAGGGAAAATTAAAGGCCAATCTTAATGATTTAATGTTGAAGTTAAAGCAACTCCAAAATCATCAGATTACTCCCTCATTCTCAATTGATGAAAATCTTCTTAAAGATGTTAAATTTCACCTTTCACAGGAACAGGAAGCTATTCAACATCTCCTTGGAATAGTTAAAAGTTTACCCAAAAAAACGCAAACATAAATTTCCAACATCATGTTAATCTCCCTGCCCTTGTTTTCCAATTATGATGATCGTTAATCATCTCCGATCCATTGACTGTTCATGTTGTAAACAAAAAACGAAAAAAAAAACTTGCTATTATTAATTTCTAATTACTCTGCCTGGTCCTTGACCATGTTTTTTTCAGTTATAACGCGAATAGATCACGATAATTGTGATTTTGTGTAATAATCAAACATGATTTTAATGCGAATTAAGTTGAATAAGATTTTAGACTTTGAGAGAACAAAGGAATTAGAAAGGGAAATATTAACTTGGTTGAACTTTTTTTTTGTTCTAAAGACAAAAAAAGAGTAACATTTAAAATTGGTTAAAGATCAATTGGTTTTTTGATTTTGAAAGAATTTTTTTTTGGTGTTAATTGCCTCCAATTAGAGACCAAGGTTTAAAAATTATAAAGATGAATGATAAAGTTATCCTTTGGTTTAGAAGATTCCACTTGAACGTCCACCGGGTGGATTGTGAACTCTAATGGCTGTTCTTTTAGCTGAGTCATCAAATTGTTCACCCGTGAACTTGAAACTTGAATCTTGTTGATTGCGAACTCCACTTCGAGTTCTAGACGAATGGAAATTCATGCCTGAAGCTCCAGAGCTTGCGGTTGATAGGGCAGGTGAAGGAGGTCCGGTTGTGGGAATGGTTTCAAAGTCATTCGATTTGGTTGAGATGACCGGTGGCTCGATGCTGATTGGATTAAGTTTTATGCTGCTGGGGTTTGCTGTTGCTCCATTGTTACTGGTTAAATTGCTGCTATTGGATACGTTTGCTTGACCGGCTGGTCTAAGGGTTTCAGGTCGCTCAGATCGGTCAACCTTAACTGGTCCCATATTACGCTCTCGGTTACGCATTCTTTCATAAAGTATTGTGGGGAAGGTGGACATTCAACATATCGTCCCTTTCCTTGCGAAACATGAATCGATCCATCTTCATCAAGAGCTACCACACCTTGTGAGATGACCACAATTGGGCCAAATTCAACCTGTAAACCTTCAAACACGTTAAAGTCCACTCGTGATTGATGAGTTTCTGCTTTGATGACTCGTGGCTTTTTACCCCAAATAACAATATCAGCATCCGAACCAACAGCGATTCTACCCTTTCGTGGATAAATATTGAAAATTTTAGCTGCATTTGCACTTGTTACGGCAACAAATCGAGTTGGATCCATTTTACCGGTTCGAACTCCTTTCTCCCAAACAACCATTAATCGCTCCTCAATTCCATTGACACCATTGGGAATCTTAGTAAAATTATCTTTACCCATTGCCTTTGTTGTGCAGAAAGACAATGTGATCTGATCCAACAACATCAAGAACTCCGGCAGCAAGAGCGTTAACTAATCCTTCGGGAGTGGTTCGGTCTGGTCGTAGAGGTGGTGACATTACATGACCGGCAGCATGTTGCCAACATCGATTGTAGTAATGGATTCCATCAGTACCAATGGCCGAGGCAAGAGTTTCACCAATGACAAGTACACCACGAGATCGCGCTCGATTAACTTCTTCAGCTGCCGATTTACTCATTACATGAACAATGTAAAGAGGACATTGAACATGATGAGCTAAAACGGATGCCCGATGAACAGCTTCAGCTTCAAGATCTTCAGGGCGAGATTGAAGATGACCTTCAGGTCCATTGACACCCATTTGAAGAAGCTTTTTAGCAAGAAAATCAATTAGATGACCATTTTCAGCATGAACTTTGGGAACGGCTCCAATTTTCTTACAACAGTCAAAAAGTTTAATTAATTCATGATCTTCCAACATAAGGGTATCTTTATAAGCCATAAAAGCCTTGAAACAATTGACACCTTTCTGTCGAACCAGAGTTTCCAATTCTTTATCAGTTGAACCATCTTTCCATTTAGTGATTGCCAAATGAAGACCATAATCACAACAAGATTTACTATCAGCAATCGAACGATACTTTTCAAACAATTGGGTAGGCGAAAGATTAGTATCAAGGGGAGTGTCAAAAATACAAGTAGTTCCACCGGCAAGGGCAGCCGAGTTCCAGCATAAAATCATCCATTGACTGAGCGCCCATGAAACTACCCTCCAAATGGGTATGTGGATCAATACCACCAGGAATAACAAAGTGACCCTTAGCATCGATAACCCGACATCCACCAGGAACAATGAGATTAGTTCCAATTTGCCTACGAAGAACAAAATATCAAAAAGATTAACTTCTCAGCAAAACAAACAAAAGACATCACATAACAATGAATAAATGGAACCTATATAACAGAAGTGAACAAAAATCTGTTTCCATTTTTCATGAAGATGATCATTTTCATCTTATTGTCATAAATGGTTCACAATTAACTTACTTAATCAAACCATCTTCAATGAAAATATCAGCATCGAAAATGGAATCAGCGTTAACACATTTTCCCTGCCTGATGACAATACGATTTTGAGAAGAGGAATTCATTGTACAACTACAACAATCAGGTTACGAATAAAAACTGATTAGATCTTCTCACACCCAAAGAGTTCTTCTAACTCATTGAGAGTCTCAAATTGAGAGAGAGGCAAAAAAAAAAACGGACAAATACAAAAAAAAGAAAGAGAAAATAGACAGAGAAAAGAGAGAGAAAAGGTTAAAAAGAAAGAAAGAAAAACAAGTCGACTGAGTAAGAGGGAAACTGATCGTAGCCGAAGCTCTTTCGACTAACCCACCAACTCGGCTAACCCAAAGTTCTATAAAAAGAATAAAAGGGGAAACCGCCAAATTCGAATTAATCTAACCGATCACATTTTTGGTTCTCTAACGAATTTGATTAATTTCATTTCTCTCATTTGGTCTGTTTGTTTTTTTTCCGCAATTTAATTTCGTTTAATTTGATTGTTCTGTTTTTGTTTTTCATCAATTTTCTAATTAATCTCATGCTAGAAGTGATTTAATTTCTCTCTCTTCAATTTTGATCCGTGAAATGGTTTCGCTTAATAGAAAAGCTTATTGGAAACAATTAGCTCCAAGACCTTATTCATCTCTATGGATTTGGTTTGCTACACGTTCACTTAAACAACAATCACCTGATTATTTTTTACCGCATGGTTTTGGTTATACTGATGAAGATGATGTTGAAGACGAAGATGATGATTATGATGATTTATATTATACCAATGGAGATACACATGGTCCTCTTGAAAGTATTAATGATGACGAATCAATAGATTGGTTGGACTCAACATTGGCCAGTTTGGATACTTCTAATTTAGATTCTTCTAATTGTGTTGTTCAAAGTATTCCTGTTGTTGTTAACCAGTCATTACAATCAACTGTTATTAGTGACAAAGAATCAAATTCATCAAAATCAAAGGTAATTAATTATTTTATTTTCTATAATTTTTTTCTACTCTTTTTCTCTTAAAAAGCTTTTTACAACAAAGGATTAGTTTTTTTTTCTTCTTCTTCCCTTTGGTTGACTTATTTTCCTTTGGTTTTTTCTCTACAACATTGTCATTTATATTTTGTGAACTGTTTTTGGTTCTATTAAATTTTTTCTATCCTCTAGATTTCTCGTGTTAAATCTAAGGATAATAAGAGAAGGAAACTAAATACTAATTCCAACAATAAGAGTGGTAAAAATTTGAATGAATCCCCGAGGAAGAAATTATTGCAACCGCCATTAGAAGGGGAACTTATTACCAGGAAAACAAATGAAATTGACGATGAAACAATGAAAATATTGGCTATCAATGAATCGCATACAATTGTTGTGCTCAAGAGAAATGATAAAGGACAATTTTCAGTAATCAATGGAGATGCTAAGGTTTCCATGGTGGTTGGTTCAGTTGTTTGTGATGGTTTCACCCTGGAACCGGAAAAATCAACTCTCATATCAACAGGTTTTGGTAGTTACCAGATAGTTTTTGAACCGATTAAATTTCAATCATATCCTTCAAGGGAACATCTTATTGAAATTTTTGAAAATTCTACAATTGAAATACCAGAATCAACGAGCTCAACTATTCTTGATTATCTAACTAATCGTGATTCAAGTTTGTCCCAATGTATAATCATTTCATTCCAAAAATGGAGGTGGCCTTCATTAGCCGCTTTAAGATTATATATTCAACCCGAAGTGACCTTTCCCCATTGGCTTCAGGTCTCATTTACCGATATCCGATCACCTGTAGTCCAGTGGTCAGCAATGTTAAAAAGATTAGTTCAAGAGGTGAAATTGAGTAAGTAAATGATAAAAATTAATATATTCAGTACATGTACATGTATATTGTATTCATTAAATGTTTCATTCATCTTTTGTTTTTACCTTTCAGAAACTGAATCTGCCTCTTCCAGGCCAATTGATAAATCATCAACTCGAGGACCAAGAATCATCATGTTAGGTGGTGTAAATGCCGGAAAATCAAGTCTCACTCGTCACCTTTGTAATCAGATAATCAGCTCAGTTACAGATGAATCATTTATCGTTGATTGTGATCCTGGTCAATCAGAATTTTCACCTCCAGGGATAATCAATGCAGCTCGTTTACAAGATCCAATTTTATCACCACCATTTGTTAATTGTCTTCGTTTTAACAAAAATATTATCACAAGTTGTTCTGTTGCTGGTATTGGCCTTCAAAATAATCCCGATCTTTATATCTTATGTGTAAAGTACCTTTGGGAAACATTTCTCGATTCATTATCTGAAGAAGATTCTTGTAAACCAGTGATAATTAACACAATCGGTTGGACTCAAGGTCTTGGTATACATTTAATGGTTGACATATTACACATTTTCCAACCAAATTATGTTATTGAAATTAAACGACAACAAAATTGGAACGCCAAAGATAATTTCCTTTCGATTGTAATCCTGATACTCTTAATCAATTGAATGGTTGGCTAGTTTATCAACCTCAACGAGGTCAACTACAATTAGTGTTCAAGCAACTTCAAAGTGTTCACTTCAACCTTACCTTAATTATGACTATATTAGAATTTCAAATCAATCTAATGCCAAGAAAAATCCAGGAGAAGCTCGAAAGAATCGAATTAGAAATCAACTTGCTTATTTGTGTTTAATGGATGAAATATTGTTCAAAAGTTTATTCGAACTTGAATTGGTCTCTCTTAACCTTGAAAATCTTTATTTTCATGTTCAACACAATTTGTTATCGATAAACATCTTATCCCCATGTAATGAAAGATTCATGGGTTCATCTGTGTCTAATAGATAATCCTGAAAGTGATAAACAACCAATTGAAACAATCACTCAACCATCAACTTCATCAATGATCATTAATCCAACAACCTGTTCAATACCTCCAGGATTTACAGCCGCTGATGCTAATCCAACACTTTGGGAACCACCAATTAATGTTAATTTAAAGATATTACCATTTCTCCGGGAAAATAAATGCCTTGGATCAGCAATCGTACGAGATATTGATCTAATTAACAAGAAACTACTCCTATTGACACCAGAATCACCTGAAAGAATCGCTCAAATTAATTGCATTGTTAGACCACAAGGAATATTTATCCCAGAACAATTACAATTGGGTAGTAATCAATTTTTCATTGATAACCAAAAAGTGATTTAATCCAAAAATAAATATATATCAATGCAACCACTGAATAATAATTAGAGGGACATTAAAAGACCACAGGAAGCAGAAGAAAAAAAATAAAATATCCGATGAAAAAAACAATCGTCAATTGATTTTGAGCAATAATTTCACTTCTTAACAATCAAATTTTGCATCATATCAAAACGATTTCCATCAGGTTGAACGGTTAAAATTTTCCCCGTTGAATCTTCAACCAACATGAAACCATGATCATCGATGCCCTTGATGATTACTTCCTTATTATCAGCCATAAGAATCTTTTGATCAGAGTGCAACCAATGTTGAATATAAAGTTTCTTAATCATCTCAATGCCAGCTCTCTGTCTCTTTGATTAAATAATCAAGCTCATTTAATGTTCTAGCGATCACTTCTTCAATAGTTAATGGGGGTAAATTTTTCGTTTCAGGATAATTAGCCAGCAATTGATTTAATGGTTGAGTTGGATGGGAATTGTTAACATTGATACCACAATGAGCAACACAATGAACATCATTTCCAATCAAACTGGAAGAGACGATAATCCCACCAATCTTAACAGTTCGTCCCCAGTAAATGTCATTCGGCCATTTAAGATGTAAATCTATCGGGGAAAAAAAGAATAAAAAAAAATAACAATAACATGAAAAACACTTCAGGTGAAAGAGAGATGAAGAAAAAAAAATGAATCGAAAGAAGGAAAAAGTGTAAAAAAAAATGGAAAGAAAAAACAACATACTAGACAGAATATTCTGTTGATTAGATTAATTGTTGATAATCTGTTCTTAATTTTTTGTTTTACTCTTTCTCTTAATTGTTTACCTGATTTCTCATAACCCAATTCTCTTGTTATCCCTCGGTAAATTGCTAAAGAAATCAAATGCTGAACCAAACCCAAACTTTGTCCAAGTCGAGATGAAAGTGGAATGTGACATGAGATTGAAAACATGGCGCATCCTTTAGAGAAACCCAAAGATTTCCACTTCTTCCTCTGCCCTGAGTTTGC